AACTATTATTGTTGTGATCACTAGGTCACTATATTGCATTTGTATAGACGACTATTTATGTATTTACTCATACTTTATGATACTAACAGTATATACACAATAATTTGAAACCATCTCAACGATAACAAAGATAATTATTGTTATTAACATCAATTTTTAACAAATAAAAACATAAAAATCATGTAACGATGAAAGTGTTTTACTTCATACTGGACGTTACTATTAATAGTTAGTTACATGATGCTCAGCTATTCTAGCACACTTATGATCCTTGGAATGCTTCTTACATGTGAATAAAGACTAAGTCCTATAGTTTGAAGAAGTGAAAAGATGGTCATAATCATCCACACTCCAGCTGCAAATAACAACTGAGTGAGTTATTCCACCGTACCTGGTTCTGATGGACTGAGACTAACTCTGATGATAGACACTAGTCATAGGACTCAGCTGAATACACTTCTATCTTCCTAGCAATGGAGGGACAAGCGCCCTGGCTCCTGAAAGCAAAATTTAGAAAAACGGGATTGGCCAATGGTTGAGAATATTCCTATGATAAAATGCTATAAAAGCCAAAACAGCAACCAAAGAGCTTACAAAAGAGATAGATAGAGTATACTGAAACAAAAGGACAGCTCAAAGTGGCTCCCACAGCTAGAATGGATGGATAAAAGAGAAGGTTGTTTAGCCTGTCTTTCCCTCCAAAAATCCGCCATTTTACCACCACTTTGGGTGGGCGTTAATTAGAATCATTTCGGTGCATAAGGTCCATTGCAGCTGATTTAATTAATTAATTAATTAATTTAATCACTCTAAAATACTGAAAATATCCTGAATGTGACTCTTCAATCTTCATTCTTCAATTTCATTCTTCAATTTATAGGCACAGTACCTGACAGTAGGACACTCACCTCTAATTTATTATCTACTCTTGATGTGTGTGATACAGTTGCATGTAGCTAACCACATGTAACTGTATAAGCCTTTTTTTTGAAATGGCTGCAGAAGTTTCTTTAAACGTTAAACCAAGGATGAAGATACTGGTAATCGGCCATAATGGGAGCGGTAAGTCTTCTGTTATAAACGAGATGGTGGCAAAAAAAGTAGCAAAAGTTGGCCGACCAGAAGACCCAACTCCTCACGATCCAATTGAGGCCCACAATTGCACAATTGGAGACGTAGATGTCACGATATTTGATACAAGAGGATTTGGTGACCCTTCAGTAACAGACAAGAAGACAATGGAGGCTGTTACTAAAATCAAGACCGTAGATGTGGTGCTGATATGTCACAAGCTGTATGGCAGGGTTGATGATGCGACTGAAAAAGAACTAAAGGTTCTAGTTGACAGGATGGGTAATGACAGTAAAGGTTTGATTGACTTATCTGTTTTTGTCTTTACTTTTGGCGATGATTACCTATCAAGATGTGATCCCGAGTTTACTAATGATGGTAGATTGACAGAAGAATCAAAAGTGCAAATTAAAGATGAATTGGTGGCACAGCAAGCAATAATGGAACACAAGTTAAAAGAAAAGTTAAGAAAAATAGTCGTTGATAAAAAAGTTGTTAACAGAATACCCAGTTGTATATCTTGTGGGAAAAGGAAAAAGAATGGAAAGCAAAAAGAGTTGCCTACAAGTAGTTTCTCTAGTTGTAATTGGATTGAAGATCTTTGGGACTTATGTGAGCAGCGATGCAAACCTGAAGCAAGGCCATTTGTTCGTTCCATGAAAAGCACCATCATTAATACATTAGTGATGGGTGGGCTAGGAGGAGGAGCAGTTGGAGCTGTTGTTGGTGGCGTTGCTTCAGGAATTGAAGCAGGTGCTACCCTCGGTACTGCAGCTACACCAGGAGTTGGTACAGTAGCTGGAGCTGTTGTTGGTGGAGTTATTGCTGGAGCAATTGCTGGTGGGATTTATGGTGTTGGTGCTGCTGGCGTTGGTGCTGCAGTAGTAGGAATTGGAGTTGCAGCTGCTGGAATTGGAGCTAGAGTTGTAGAGGCAGTGAAGGGCAAATCTGATAAAAGCAATTGAAAAACTCTAAACTTTTTAATAGCTAATGAACACAATACTTAGTTATTAGTGACTTATTTAGTACTCTTAGTGATTTATTTCCTCTTGTAAGTTAATAATAATAACAATAGTGATGTGCTACAAGTTAAAACATTTTAAAGTCTTTTCTCCATTACTGCACGTCCATTGACCAGCACAGGAGAATCAGACGGATCTATA